AAAAAAAAAAAAAAAAAAAAAAAAAAAAAAAAAAAAAAAAAAAAAAAAACAACGTTATTTCTGTCTGTTTAAAAAAAGTTGTTTAAAAAAAGTTAGTTCTGTCAAGTCAAAATCTTTCTCTGCAAACCTCGAACCCGAAACTGGAAGCTATTTCGAGAAGTGCTCACCTGCAAGAAAACCAAAACAACCACATATTTTGTAGTTTATATGATACAATTCTCCTAAATATTTTGTAAACATGTCTTAAATTATTTTGTTGGTGTGATCAAAGTTATTAATTTCTACACAAGCAAGAAAGTAGTACTTAGTGTTAAGAACAGGCCATTTCACCAACATGTCTTCATCATAGGCAGCCATTAACGATCAAGCTCATATTAAGCACAGAGAGATGCAGCCAAGAAGAGTTCTATATGAAGGATGGATATGAACTTACCCCTTAAAAGTAATGGCGGGTCTACTCGTCCTCCATAGACGAGTGTTTATAAGAAGCTTCAGCACGAGCTTCCTCCAACTTTAGCAGCAGGTCCTTCATGAAACTTGAATTAGTTCCATGAGTAATTCGCAGTATATCGAATGCCTTGGTATACGATTTTACAGCATCCTCTGTATACCCAAGTAGCCTGCAAATTGAATGGCATCACATATTTGATAAGTCAAATGTAACAATTTCCCAGTTCTTGAAAAGAAGCCAGCTCTTACAGCATTTTCCTTAAAAAATGATACAGTATCTTGGTGCAATACTAACCATTCCAATTTCCCACAAGTATAGAACTGCAATCCAAGCAATGGATGGATCCCAGAGTATAGTTCTGCAATCAAAGAGATCTTTCTTAGAAGATATTTTATAAACTATTAAACTATGTGGATTCATTGCATAAGATCAAACATAATCAATCAAGCCCAAGTAAAACTACAAGTTTGTAACAGTATACGAGGAGCACTCTCTCGGACCATCTTGAAATAACATTGTAACAGCCCAATCCCACAGCCGGCAGATATAGTCATTTGTGGGTTTTCCCTTCTGGGCTTTCCCCTCAAGGTTTTAAAACGCGTATACTAGGGAGAGATTTACACCCTTATAAGAAATGCTTCGTTCCCCTCTTTATCCGATGTGGGATCTCATAATCCACCCCCCATGGGGCCCAATGTCCTCATTGGCACACCTCCCAATGTCTGGCTCTAATACCATTTGTAGCAACCCAAGCCTACCGCTAGGAGATATTGTCCTCTTTGGGCTTTGTAACAGCCCAAGCCCAAACCCACCATTAGATCTCACATCGATTGGAGAGGGAAACAAAGCATTCCTTATAAGGGTTTGGAAACCTCTCTCTAGCAGATGTATTTTAAAACTTTGAAGGGAAGCCCGAAAGGGAAAGCCCAAAGAAGACGATATCTGCTAACAGTGGGCTTGGGCTGTAAATGATAACTCTTTCTTAAAATGCATTCTCACCTCCATGTTTACCCTTCATCCAACATATTCGAGCCAGTTTACCTAGCTCATACTCATAAAAAGGTTGAGTGACCAAAGCCCACGAAGAGACATTAAACCTGGTCATCTCTCTAACTAAAATTTGCAGTTGTATCAAGCAGATGATCCACTTTTTATCCAAAAACAATTAATTTACTAGAAGAATAGAAAAAAAAAAAAAAAACAGACATACTTTGATAAACCGAAATTGTCAGTTTACAGTATAGTAGAGCTTTTGTCCAATTCTCTAGCTCCATCGAAATCTGCAAGAGACATCAGAGGTATGATACACAAATAATTACAAACATAGGTAAGCAATTATAATAAGCATTCTTAACCTACCTTGAGAAGCTTTTCTCGAGTTTGCATCAAACTAATGGAATAAGGATGGCATAATATTTTTTGGAGTTCCTCAAGTTTTTCATACATAAATAAAGCTTCTCCACAATCTGAGTTTGGTTAAAGATGAAACCAAATGCAACAAAGACCAGACCGAGCTTATTCAGATCAAAGAACACCTATGTTCCAAGATATTTTATCAGTGACAAAAACCCGACAACCATTAATGATTTATAGTCAAACATAAAAGGATACTTTGGTGAAACATAGAAGTAGAAGCTTCATCTGATATCGATTTTATTTGACTAGCAATGTTTTGTATCTCTTCCTTATTTCGAACAAGTCCACATTGTTGGCATGTAAATCCAGTGTCATCTGCAGAAAAAAAACAAAAACCAAACTTTGAAATAATAGCACATTCTCGGTTACTGGCCGAACAGTGAAATATCACGTACCAGAATTACGAAGCAGGAAACCATCACATTGGTCATTTTTGCACCTGTATCCTTCCAGAATTGCACTTTCTTTGATTTCATCTTCTTGATCCTTTAATTTTTTGAAGGGAGGAAAATGATCAAACAAATAGAAATTCTGAATCATTTAGATCAAACATAATGCGGTTCAAATCAAGGATGAAATACATCTGAGAGATGCAATTATTGGTTACAACTTTAACGCATTGAGAGCATGTGCAAGTGAACAAGTAGTTTTCTTTAAGAGCTTTCTGCCGAGTCATAGTGCTTCCAGCAGTTTCGATGTAACTGATCGACACCTAATGAAATATCACCGGATAGATATGATTAGACCGGGAATTGGGGAATATAAATCATAAAACAACACAGACTAAAGAACTTTAAAATAGAGCTACTGATACGAAATAAACAAGGTGTCTTAATCATTCAATGGATGACAAGATACATATATGTTATTTAGATTTAAGGAGGTTCTATTATATTTTTTAAGTATTAGATAATTAGCTAGTGGTCATTATGATATCGATGGCCATGAAAGTTACAACCTTTCAATTAACCATAGGTTACTATAAAGTTTATTTTCAAGACTATAAATAGTCATTCACGTTATTCCTTTAGTATGAAGATTTTGGATATTATAACGAAAGTGGCATATTATGCTTCTTCAGCCATGAGCTTATTCCTTTGCATTTCTTGTGTTTAGATTTGCATGCTAGAGTTATTTAAATAGTCTTGATCAAACTATCTTGTGGAATGATTTGAATCACGAGTTTTCTTTACTCTTGATCTTGATCATCAAGGTAATCTGTTTCCTAAACTTTCCCTTGGGTTGATTTCTTATCGCCTTTGGGGTTCTTGGATAATTTTAATCTAGAGATCTCGTTCTTTAATGAGGTTTTTTAGATCAAATCCCAAGAGTTTCATATCAGCTATGATACAGATGTTCCACATCACTAGAACCTAGAGAACTAGGGGGAAAAAATGAATATAGACAGAAGGGATACCTCAGCACCTGCAGGTATATGTTGCACTGCACGGACCACAGCAGATCTTCCCTCGAATACCAAAACAGCATTGGGCAAGCAGCTATAGTACCAAAACCACTTAGTGACTTAGTTGATTATTATGATGAAGTTTCTTACCAGAAGAATTATTATGACGAAGTAATGGGTGTAAATACAGAACATGTCTTGTGAGGAGTTACCTATGGTTTATAATGGAGATTACAGGATATAGTCCAGTCCCCAAGGGTCTAAGTTCACTGTCACATATGGTATGTGCATTACATGCAAGCTGCATTCAAATGCAGGGGGTTAGACTTCAGAACCGACGCAAAACTGATATTGCCGAATCTTGTGGTTATGGAAAATAAGGCATCATAACTTATTTTAGGCAAATATATCAAATAATAGCAGCAGTGGAAGTACACAATCCTGAAAAACCAATGTTTGAAAGATGACCTCAATAAATTTACGCGAAAAGTTGTTAAGATACTACGAGTGAATTTCCCATCTTAAAGTGTCGGCTAGGGAGAGGTTTCCACACCCTTATAAAGAATGTTTTGTTCTCCTCCCCAACTGATGTGGGATCTCACGATCCACCCCCTTCGAGGTCCAGCATCCTCACTAGCACTCATTCCCTTCTCCAATCGATGTGGGATCCCCCCCCAAATCCACCCCCTTCAGGGCTCAGTGTCCTTACTGGCACACTACCTCGTGTCCACCCCCCTTTGGGGCTCAACCTCCTCGTTGACACATCGCTCGGTGTCTAGCTCTGATACCATTTGTGACGGTCCAAGCCCACCGCTAGCAGATATTATCCTCTTTGGGCTTTCCCTCAAGATTTTAAAAAACGCATCTGCTAGGGAGAAATTTTCACACTCTTATAAAGAATGTTTCGTTCTCCTCTCCAACCGACGTGGGATCTCACAGGGTTTCTATTAATAAATGAAACTATCGCTGGACAGTCCAATTTATGAATAAGAATGCTAAGAACACACGGCTGCTTAAATTTAAAATTTTAAGGTACTGGTGAGTAAAAGTCGAGCTCAGTAAAATATATAAATATGCAGAACCTTGGAGAAGTGTCGTGCTATTTCTTTTACGTTCATTTCTGGCCACTGCAGGATCAAATTCACAAGAGTTCCCATCTGAGCGTACAACACCAATTGTTTTTCATCTATGCCAGACATGTCTGATTGGAAAAATGGTTAAACAAAACAAAATTACCAAGTTGAATACCATCGTTAATATGGCAACGCATTATCGAGAAGTTCATAAAATGAGGATACGATCTATTAGTGCCTCCACCAATTTATAATTGTCTGTTGCGGTCGTAGGTATGACCTGTCGATAAAATCATGATATGTTCATATAGCAAATTATTAAGAACAATATAAACATCTAGAAGCATTAGAGTAATCATTCCCAACAGTAATTTTCACGTGATAAACATGGAAAATGCCATACAAAAAAGAGTTCTTGATTCAAAGTGGAGGTAAAGCTTACCTTTTCACTTTGCAGTTTTCTTCGGATAAAGAGTTTGATAATCAACCTTATAGATGGAGTAACAGATTTATGCCTATCCTTGTCGAGCCTTGCAAGAGCATCACATTCAAGACGATGCAACTTCCACTCCGACTTCTGAAAGTCATTGAAGGAAAAACTAGTCAAACCCGATTGCTTAATCATACTAAGCTGTTCTTGGATGCCAAGCCACTAATACAACCCATCTTCCAGTCACAATATAAAAATGGCATAGGAAGAATAGCGAAGTTGTCGAATATAAATGGCATTCGGTCACACCCGTATCGACAGAACAAAATTTTCTTCGAGGGTTTGATCAAAATGAATATGAAAACATACTTTCAAACAAGAATTACATGTCTTAACATTGCTCAGAAGTTATCAAACTGTTTGGTTGCACAATCCTAACATATAAACAAGTTACAAGCAATGGTTGATCTTTAGGTCAGTGGTGCATATAATAGTGGAAAAGGAATAAGAAATACTTCATCTGTCTCACACACCTGGCACGTACTGCTGCAATACCATGAAACTTTGCAAGCTGAGCATTTCTTGAGGTTTATTGATGCGAAACATCGGTCACATCTGGACTCAACCGTCGAGTTGTTGGGGACGCAAACATAAGGTTCTTGGCTAATTATTTCTTCTCCTGCAACACCAAACACGATACTATAAACGTTTGTTTACGTTGAAAGTTCCATTAGATACTAACAACACCTCGCATACATTGAACTGCATTTGTAGAATGAGGGTGTAGCATAATTTTAATGATCTCTCTCTAGTTTGGTTATTGATTATTTCTTCAAGGATATTTGTATAAATTGGGATGCATTGAGACCCCACATCAGTAGGAGAGGGGAACGAAACATTTCTTATAAGGGTGTCGAAACCTCTCCCTAGTAGACACATTTTAAAACTGTGAGGCTAACGGCAATATGTAACGGGCCAAAGCGGACAATATTTGCTAGCAGTGGACTTGAGTTATTACATGTACACATGTCTGGCCTTGTTCCTTTCTGTTTTATCATTTTCTTTTCACTCTTTTTTTGGATTTTGCATCTTTTGAACATTTTAGTTCAAATGGATCAAAAACTATAACAATCAAGCTATGGCATATAACTAGAATGCTTCACACTAAACCACCTCCCAATCGACTTTTCATAGACCCAGGTTCTTAAATAGGAAGTAGAAACCTGTGATCGTCTTCATTTTTCAATTTTCCGGCCCAGTATTGGCCATTCGTATCAGACACCAACAGCGAAGAGTTCAAATTTATCTAAGCAAGTAGAAAACAAGTTGAGCCCCAGCATGAACTCAATAGCTTGAGCAGCTTTAAAGATCGCTGGATTTCAATAAACAGAGAATATAATCAACACAAACGACGAAGAAAGAAGAAAGAGAATGACCCGGATGAAAATTCCTGGTGGTGAAGAGGCTCCGGCCCTTCTCCGGCAGAATAGTAACCGTTAACCCACGGTCGTTTAGAGCATTCTGCAAGCCCTCCATGAATGCCGGAAGCACAGAGCGCCAAGCACCAACAATGACGAGGAGGTTTGAATTAGAGGTAGCTTCTTTTTCCCACCAGCGACAGAGTGGAATGACCCCCACCTGAAAACCAAGCAGTTATATGTAAATTGACCATCAAGTTAAAGCAAAGAGACTAACCCTAAGAAGGTCGAAGCCGAAACCCGAAAGGTGAGTAGAGAGGCTAACGCTTTGATGTGGGCGCGAAGAATAATTGGACTAAATGATGATTACAGAGCGTTGCGGCAAGTCACTTCCCGAGTTTTAGCAAAGTTTCAACCTCCATGAATGCCGAAAGCGGCAGGCCCAACTCTCCCGCTTAATATTGAATTCTTTCCACCCTCTCTTCTAAGTTCTCGCGCCTCGCTCATACCCACAACTTCGATACTAAAAAATGTTTAAAACGGAAGGTAAACCAACTCAATTTTGATTTTTTTTGTTGACCCATTTCACAAATCAAAGAATTTAGCTTGATCTCTAGTTTGGATCAAAATTGGATCAAGCTAGACTATGCATCTCGCAACTTCTTTTGAAATAGAGTTTTTAGTACGGGACGATACGGGTGTGTCGATATTGCACCCTAACCCATGTATCGTAGGTTGGATTATGCACCCACTATACAGTATGGAGTCCGCAAATAATATAGCATGGGCATTGGAGAACGAACACCTCAATATAAATGTGGAGGGATGAATAGATCAATACTATTATAGAATATGAAACACTGCTCAAAATGTGATACTTTACCCACCCAAAAAAAAATGAAAAATTGAAAGTTTAAAAACTACCCACGTTTTTAGTTTGTAGTTGTCTAATATCAATTTGGTGCTCTTAGTTTGTATTTGTCTAATATCAATTTGGTGCTCGTATCATGATTAGTTAATTTGACGGGGGGTGGCGAATGTCAGCCTAATCCATTTGTTATGCCATGAACGAGGTATCAATATTAAGAGGTCCTATATATTGATTTCTCCGCACCAACTTACTAAATCTTGCAATGGAGGCTCTTCGAAAGAGAGACAAGATGCCAATGACATGTTAACCATCGCTACGTTTTCTCCAGCCTAAATTCTCCGTCGTTTCGGTCTCCGAGGGGAATTCTTGCTTTCGTGCCCATCCCAGGTTCGTTTCAATACATGTCGGGGTAGTTTTCCTGAAAATTTGTGTTCATTGTGTTGATTTGAGACGAATTTTACTTTGCTGAAGTTGGGTCGAACTGTTCTTAAAGATTTATGTTCTTTTTTTTTTCCCCCTAACAAGTTGGATAACTATATGGGGTGAGAGTTTAGAAGATTAGTATTGATCTTCTTCTGGAAAACAGAGAGGGAAAGAAGGAGATTGTTCTTTCTATCATCTGCTTCAGCAATGGACACCAGTCCAACCTGTGCGTTGTTCTTGAGTGGAAAAACGGCGGCTGACAATGAAACTGTCAAATTGCTCAAGAGGAATGACACTTTGAAGCTCCCTGACCATACTGAAATTTCGGTTTTCTTGCATTCAGAAAGGGATGAATTCCTGGAGGAAATTGGGTTTCGAATTGATTCGTATTTGAATGCTCTTTCTACCAATACTTTCGGTAGATTCGTCATTTGGTGTAAACAGATTCCTTCTACTCAGGATATCATTTCTCAGTGGGTGTAACGATGCATTTCTTTTTCCTCCCCGCCATTTTTTCATTCTTTGACGATCCAGCTATCTCTTGTAACAGCAACTTCGACCTTCCCCTGGGTACAGTCTGCGTGGCTGATGTTCAGTTCAAGGGAAGAGGTGAGTAGTGCTCATAATCAACCACAAACTGGTAGCCTTATATGTGAGTCCTTGAATTCCTCTTTGTATTGAAAGTCATTATGTGGATTTAAGTGAAGGTCGATCGAAGAATTTGTGGGAATCTCTCCCTGGTTGCCTTATGTTGGGCGTATTGTTCCTCTATTACAGTATGTGATGTCTCTTGCTATTACTGAGGCCATTAAAGATCTTTGCGACAAAGAGGGAACTTTTGTCCTTTTTGGCCCATATTAGAAACTCTTACCTGAAATCTTTGTTAAAAAATGGGAACTCAGTCTCTTAGCTGAAAATTTTGATAAACTGGTGGTGCTAAATTATGAATGAAAAGTTCATGTTTTGTTTTTTTAATGAAAGCAAGGAAAACGAGTGGTGTTAGTTTAATAGCGCACAGATGTCTCAATGGCTAAATTACCAAACCTTAGGAGGGGGGAATGAAGTTGGACAGCCCAAGCCCACCGCTAGCAAATATTGTCCTCTTTGGGTTTTTCCTTTCGGGCTTCTTCTTAAGGATTTTAAAACGCATATGTTAGAGAGAAGTTTCTACACCCTTATAAAAAATACTTTGTTCTCTCCAATCGATGTGGGAGCGGTGTGCTAGTGCGGACGTTGGATCCCCAAGGGCACCGATTGTGAGATCCGATCTCAGTGGGGGAGGAGAACGAAGAGAACGAAACATTCTCTATAAGGGCGAGGAAACCTCTCCCTAACAGATGCGTTTTAAAAACCTTGAGGTGGAAGCCCAAATCGAAAAGTCCAAAGAGGACAATATCTGCTAGCAGTGAGCTTGGACGGTTATAAAAACATATGGTAATGGTCGGAGGAAACAGTTTGTTTGAAAGAAACTAGAGGGACTTGAGGAATAGATGGGGATTCAAGTCATGGTAGACTAGCTTCCAACATTCAGAACTGGTCTAGTACACTATCGAGATGATTCAACGCCATTATATGTTTCACTATTTCCACCGTGCCAACGACACTATCCATTCCATTGATGTTATGAATATTATTTGTAAATAGTGCTGCACTTGAGTTGAGGTTAATACTGCTCATTCTCTGTGGGTCCGTACAGGGTTTACCCTCTATTGATTTGAAAATATAGTGGCCAAATGATCTTTACGTGAATGGCCTGAAAGTTGGAGGCATTCTGTGCACTTCAACATATAGATCGAAGAAGTTCAATGTTACTGCTGGTGTGTTGGTTTCTTTCCGTCTAACCTTCTTCTACATTCTGTTTTTGTAACAGTCCAAGCCCACCGCATACAGATGTTGTCCTCTTTAGGCTTTCCCTCAAGGTTTTTAAAACACGTCTGCCAGGGAGAGGTTTCCACACCTTTATAAAGAATGTTTCATTTCTGAATGTGTTAATGTGAACATCATTCTATCACTTCCTGCTGTTCGTTGCCTTAAAGGTTTTGTGCATGAGAAGCATTTGGCTTCTACTTATGGCATAAAGGATTGGAGGATTTCGGATCAATAATTATACGTAAAGGATATCTTCCAAAGTTTTCTAGCTACATATCCATCAAGTTTGTGAAGATGATAGCTATACCATATATGCAATGTGGGGGTGTGAGAGAGTGCTCTAAGATATTGTTCATATAAGATGTGTATATATATTAATTTGGTGTAATCATTCTTTCCTTTTATGTATTAAGTCATTCTCCTACATAACAAGGCTATATATCTTACTATCTATATCATTCCATTTAAATTTAGATGATACCCGAGCAAGAGATTTTGTGTTCAAACGCCTTTGATGTCATGTCCTCCCCCATTAACATTGGTTTCTACTTGTTGGGTCATCTACAAATTTTCAAGCTCACAAGTGAGTGGAGTGTTTAAGTATATAATTGATTGGTGATTTAACAATCTTGTTCTCACTTGAAAAGGCTAGAACTTTTGTAGCACACGTATTTCGTTTAATGCTACATGCTTGTTCTGTTTACCTCATGTTTGCTCTGCTTCAGTTTCAAAATTTCCCTGGTGACCTCATTCTCACTAAATCCATGAATAATGCCACTTTGTTATCATCATTTTTTGATTAAGTAGGGTTTCGAGCTCTCGAGGAACTCTACTATCAGACATGGTTGCACAGGTAACTCAACACGTTCTGTTCCAGGATTCTCACGATTATGCTTTGTTGTTTACATTGTCTATACTTACGTTTCATGGAACGAAAAACGTCTTGGATATGGACTATGTTGTTTGATTTTTTTAGTTCTTGATGTCTATGAGCTAGGACTATTGCGCAAGTTATGCCAAGTAGGTTTTATAATTCTTTTCCTATAGATATGATCTTGTTACATCTGTCTATGTAGTGGGCAAAGAGTTATTGTACAGGAAAAGAAAGATGATCAAGAAGTGGAAAATGTTGTCACTATTCAGGTACGTGAGATCTGATTGATAGCTAATTCTGTGACAGCTCTATGCTGCAGTCTTAATCCCACTACTTTTGTGAGATCCTACGTAGCCTCTCCCTAGTAGACACGTATTAAAACTGTGAGGTTGATGACAATACGTAATGGGTCAAAGCAGACTATCTGCTAGCAGTGTACTTGAGCTGTTACAAATGATATGAGAGCCAGGCTCTTGACAATATGCCAGTGAGGACGCTGGGCTCCCAAAGGAGGTGGATTGTGAGATCCCATATCGGTTGGAGAGGGGAACGGGTTCAACTTAGTAACGGAGAGTTCTTAGGTCACCATCTTCTATGATTTTCATGGTTTTGAAAACTGGAATTGATTGCTTATTGGTTCAGAAATTTGCTTGTTTCGTTATACAGGGGCTGACATCTTCAGGACATTTGCTAGCTATTGGAGATGACAGCCAAATGTGCGAGCTTCATCCAGATGGGAATAGGTAAGTACTTGAATTGATTCAAACTTGGACTTGTTTTTGAAAATCTGGATATGAAGTTGATTACAAACGAACGAATTTATAGGTAGAAGTAGCGTTTATAAGCTTAATTTTCAAAAATCAAAAATAAAAAACTAAGACACCGTGCAATAATGTTTATAAGCTTACTTTTTTAAAACAGAAAATTAAAAATAAAATCGTTAACAAACGGGCCTAAACTAAATCGTTATCATTTACAAAATCGACAATGAAGTTCATTCCAAATTCTTCCATGACTAAGAAACAGTGGTCAATAAAGTTTAACGTCTCAAAGTGCTTTAGAATCAATTATAATGATTGTAAGATGACTGCCCTGTTAGCCAATCAATCAATACCGTAGTTTCTGCTAATACTCATTTCGCTGAAACTTTTAATTGTTAGTTGTTGCTTGAATGTCCTTTTGAACTAAGCTGGCATGCATATCTCACAACCCCAAGCATGAATTCATCTCCAAATGCAATGACTGTAGAGATTTGATCTTAAATCTAATGATCATGTCATCTTCCTCTTGTTCTTCAGGAGGAAACTGGTGTGAGAATACTGCTTTTTTTTTTTTTTTTTTTTCACTTTGGATTATGAGCTGTATGGAATGGAATCATGTGCAATACAAAGGAGAAAGATTATCTTACTTTTTATGATTAAACAATGAGATTCTACTGAAGATGTAAATGTTATTCATATTTAACCTTACTAAAGAGGGTCCATAGTCAAGAACATGCTGTATTTTTATATCATTCCAATGAACGTGAAGGAATTTCTAGTGGGACAATTGGTATAATCAGTCAGTCAGTCAGCAGTTCTTTT